TAGGAGTTTAATTGTGGATTCTGGTGCCTGCTCTGTCATTTATGAATAGTTATAATATTCTGTCATTATGAGCCTTCATGTCTTCATCTGTAAAGTAGACATAATTCCTCCTACGTAGTGAGGTACAGGTAAGAATTAAACAGAATAATGTACGTAAAATGCTTGTAATCACTAAAGCAATATAAGGACACACCTGGTGTAGTGGTACACACACACCAGGCTGGGGTTTGAATCAAGTTTTCACCTTTCTGTGCCTCAGTTTCCCCATCTATAAAATGGGGTAACTTTAGTCCTTCAGGTGGTTGTTAAAGTAGTTATTTCTTACTTCATACAGGTTAAAATAGTTATTTCGTGTAATTTACGTAACAGTACCTGCCCAGAGCAAGCACACACTAAATATTAGTTGCTATTATAATTATTGCCATTTTAATTTTGTCACTTTGTGCCTGAAAGAAACTGAAGAAAAAGATATCTAGCTGTAGCCCCTGGGAACAGGTATTTCTGAAATCAGGTTTATATACCTTTGGAGGCATACAAATGCCCCAAAGTTGTTACAAAATGTCCACACTTTAAAAAAAAAATTCTATTTTGAGAGAGATCATGCTCTATCCGTCCCATGTGGGAGGGGAGTAGAAAGGGTATCACGATTTCACATCCACCCTGATCTATAGCAACACTAGTAAGTGTTTGGACAACACAAACACAGAGCAAGAGCACAGACTAGTGGGCGAGGCTTGAATGCAGAGGCTTCTCTGTTGTTGTGTTTACTGCTGCTTTTCCGGCAGAGACCTCAGTACTGTGGGAAGGATGAGTCAAGCAGACCTGGGTAGAATCCTGGGCCCTGCTCCCAGTAGGTGACCTTGGCCAAGGTGACCTCTCTGTGCCTGTTGCTTTATTTACAAAATGGGCTAATAATAGCCATCTCCTATTGTTAGCAGTCAAGATTAAAGGAGGGAAAGCATAGCGAGCCCTTGGCCCTGAGCCTGACATCTCCGAGGATGCATCCACCCTCAGCTGTTGCTGCCTGGGCTGCCAATAGCCCGAACAGCCCGGGCGCCGCTTTCCCAGCTCTCCTCTCCCCCTGACCTCAGCCCTGCCCGTCTCCCCAGTGAAGACAAACAGAAGTCAACAGAGTTCATTTGTATGAACTTCAGGGGAACTGCTTGCTTAGGGAGGGAAGGTCAATAGTTTTGAAACCCAAGAGACGAACAGATAATGGTCCTCCTCCCCAGCCTCCTGAAATGATTCCTGCCTTCTTCCTCCTCAGAGTTCAAGGCCCCTTCTGGAACTCAAATATCAAGATCAAGCCCTTCCGGGAGTTCTCAGGGGCACTGCGTTAGCTTCAATATCTCATTTGCAACATAGGAGGACAAGTGGCATTACAGGGGCCGGGGCCAGGGCCAGGGCCAGGCCCAGGCTCCTTCTTGCAGCCTGGAGCACGTTTGGGGACTGTTGGGAATCCACTGTCACCTGGGTGCAGGCACAGAACCTATGGAAAAATTGTAATAGGACCTCCAAGGCAACAACACAAAACTCACTTACGTAGGCAAAACTCACTATCTCTTTTGCTGCTGTTTTTAAAACTATCTGAAGGAACGTTAAGGGTGATTCTGCTGACTGGTTAGTCTGCGGAGCATCTCCCCACCCCTGCTCCGGCCTCTGTCCCAATCAGCTAACGTGGCAGAAACTGCAAGAACAAAGCGACCTCAGACCAGGTGTGAACTGCAGACACTTTCTTGAACACAAATGAAGAGACATCAGGTTTCCTCTGTGAATGAAGACGTACTCTCGGCACCAGGAAGGAACAGAAAGGAATTTCTGGAAATGTTTGGGGTTGAGGCAGAGTTCAAAGGGAAATAATTTAGAGGGCAATATGCATAGCGCCTTCTGAAATGCCTCAGATGGTGAAAGAAGTGAGGGTCCCTGAGCTGGAGATGCAGATAAAAGGGGGTAAGACCCAGGAGTGAGGATTTGTCCAGAATGCTCTCCTGCTGCCCAGTGCAGGGCAGTGGCAGGAGTCTGCAGAAGGGGCCTGAGCTTTGGAGTTAGAGCCCAACTCACTAGCCAACTGGTCAGCCACATGCCACTAGCTGATCATGTGGCTTTGCACTGCCTCACTGTCCTAAACCTTAGTTTCTTCATCCTCAAGATGGGACTGATAATGCCCATTGCCTGGGGTTGTTAAGAGGTTAATGTGAACTTAAAAATATGAAAATTCCCACCACAGCACACTGGACACACACAAATTGTGGTTTCCTATCTATGCCCCAGAAGTGACTGACTCCTCTCCTTGAGCTTTGCCCAGGCCAGCTGCTTTTAAATGCTCCCTAGAGAAATCGGGGACCTGTTCCAGCTATCCTCTCCCAAAGGGGAGTGATCTCATCGGGGACTGCCACACTCAGATGCCGATGGACAGCTGCCCCCCTGGACAGGCCGGGGCTGCCCATACACTCTGGGGGGGCCTGCAGCTGCGCCAAGTGCAGCCGGCCCTGGGCCAGGGGCCTCCTCCCAGGAAGCTGTTACCTCCTCCTGCCTTTCCAGATGCCTCCCCTCCACTGGCATCTCAGGAGTCCTGAGGGCAAGACCAGCTAGGAGCTGAGTCTGTGGCTTTCCGGAATTTTCTGGAAGTTAGGACCTAACCCATCCACAGTATTTAGTCCCCAGGGAAACCAAAATTACTCAAGCTATTTTTGAACCATTCTTCATGCCTGAACTTGAAAAAAACCAAACATCTTGAGCATTTGGGTCTACTCTCTTACAAATGGCAAGGAAATGACAACTGACCTGAAAGCTGATCAAAGGCTGGACACGCCCTTCCCCACGTCACCCTCCCTTCTGATCCTCCTCCCCCAACACACGAAATCGCAAACGCATACATGCATGTACACACGCACTCTCATATGAACATCTATACATACACCAGTAGAGTCCCTTGGAGAAAACCTTGACACTGTCCAGCATTTTCTAGTTTCTTGCCTAAAGTGCCACCACTGAGTAGAGAAGCTGATGAAGGTTTGTACACACAAGGTGACGTTTTAGCAACTGTGCCCATCATGTGCCACCTGCCAATGACAAGATAGTCTTCAGTTATAAAAACACTAATCAGAAATAAAGTCGGATCCCTTCTATGCACAAAAACAGAAAAAAATAAACTGCAGGTATGTTAAAGAACCATAGATAAATAATTACAAAAATATTTTTTTTTAAAATCTGAACATTTAGATAGCCTTGGAGCTGGGAAAAATTAAGCAAAGTGACGAAATACACAAGCCATTAAAAAGGAGACATTTGATCATATAAAAAATGGAAAGCTTCAAAGAGGAACAGATAGCATAGTAAAAATCAAATATAAGACATCATAAACGAAGATTATATCAAAATGATAGATTGGAAGGAAATATTTTTATCACATATAATGTACTAAGAACTCTGCCAAATTAACCAGGAGATAAATAACCAACAGAAAAATGGCAAAGAACATAACCTGGCAAATTATAAAAAGGAACCAAAATGAACAACAGAAAAACATAAAATTTTAAAAGATGCACCATCTCAAATAGTACATAGGAAAATGAGAATGAACACAACGACATAATCATATTTTATCCTTTAAAACAGTTCAGGAGCCTGGTAGTATCCAGGGAACAGGTGTTGTTTCTGTCACATGATGTTAGGGCAAGTGTCAATAACTACAAACTTTATAAAAGTATTTATTCAACTTTAAAATGTGCATACATTCTGATCCAGGAATTCCATTTCAGGGAATTTCTCAGGCTAAATAAAATACCGGTGTATAAAGCTAGTTGTGATGTTTTTAAAGCATTTTTTGTAATTATAAAAACCTGAAACCTACCTAAATGGCATTCAAAAGGTGATTCATTAAACAAATGAGATGACACCTGGGCACATTCACACGTGGGCCACAGGGCAAGTCTGTGCTTCAATCTCCTCATGCACAGGCTGAAGGTGATAATGGCACTTACGGTGCAGATTTATTTGTGGTAACTTGGAAGGACTTTTACTATACATTCCAAGTTAAAAAAAAACAACACAAAAGCAATTTGCAGAATTAAAGGTATTCTTTAAAAATGTGTATATGCCTATACTTATTTGTATGCTTTATGCAAAGGAAAAAGTAGAGAAGCTCTATATTAAATTGTGAACACCTCTACTGCCTTTGTAGCTTGTCACTTTTAAAAAAGATGAAAATTCACCAACAGAAAAAAAATACAGGAGACATAAACACTGAAAACCAAATACAGATGCTTAACAATCAGAGGGGAGGAATATTCATCCTTAAAGCCTATTAGGTTCCGAGAACCTCCTGAATTCAAAGCCCCCTTTTTGATGCCATGTGCCAACAAATTAGCCAAGCTGAAGGCGATATATTCACCCACTAAGATGAGGCACAGTGAAGTGGGTGTGTTTGTGTATGGGTGCACAGGGGGTGATTTGGGGGGTGCGGTAGGAGAAGATGCCATGGGTGAAGAAATGAATAACTTTGCAGGGATTGGAGGTACACTTGGGTTTAATCCTGGCTCTTGCACTTTTCTATATAAGTAAAATAGTCTGGTTTTCTTTTTGAACCAGTCTCTTTGCTTGACAAATGAGTGACAGATGCAGGGAGGTCACACTCACACCAGGCCTGGCACAGGGCACTCCTGCCCTCCCAGGCCTGCTTCAGGCCCATCCCGGGGTGTGGGGTGCGGTGTGTGGTGTGCGGAGCCCTCCTCCTCTGCCTCCTGTCCTCCCCGCTTCCCCATTCCCTGCATAGGCCTCGCAGACTTTTCCTTTCCTTGAGAGGAGGCATCAGGCTTTAGGCTTGTCACTCTGTCTAACATAGCCTGTCTGCCTGTGCCTTTCTGTTTACCATGACACTCATTCCTGCTGCATTTAAAGAATTTGGGTCCCTGTGCAAGTAAAGGCATGATTTCAGATACACACACACACACACACACACACAGATGTGCTCTTTACTCAACACAGAACTTTCTAAGAAAGAATCCAGGTGTCACCCTGGATCCTGTACAAAATACTGGTTAGTTAGCAACAGAAAGCAAACTCCCAACACCAAAAGGACCAGAGAAGATGAACTGTAGCAATTTCACATTATTGAAAGACTGCATTTAAGATCATTGACCCTTTAAAATAACTTGAACAGACCGAGAAAGGCAAACTGATCCGTGTCTTTGCAAAGGGTGAGACTCCTGAGAAGTGGTGGGAAAACTGGAAGCAAAGTACCTGCTCGTCTGGCAGTTCCACCAAGTCCAGTGGGAACTCCCTTTCCCAGCAACAAGGTCACCACGCTGACTAGATAAACATACTGTGTGCTGTGGGTCCAGGGAGCTGGACAGTGGAGTCCCCGGGGCTCAGGCGCTCTGGGGCCGGGGCTCCCTCCCGCTGTTGAGGAGGTCAGTGAGTTCTCCGATGTACTTGATGGTGTACTTCAGCGTCTGGATCTTGGTGAGTGGCTGGCCCCTCTGGCTGTAGATGGGTGGCAGGTAATTCCGGAGGGTGTGCAGAGCATCTGCCAAGGTCCTCATCCGGAGCTTCTCCCTCTCGCTGGCCTTCCGTCTCCGCTGGACAGACATCCTGACTTTGGTGCCCTTCTGGGCCTTGGGGCCCCCAGCGCCCTGCAGGTAGGCAGGTGGGAAAGCTAACATATTGTAGTCCACCTCTACCAGGCCACCAGTGCCATGGCCGCTGCAGCCATCACTGCCCTCGTTGCTGGCACCTCCATGCCCACAGGGCAGCCCAGCCACAGCCGGACAGGAAGAGGTGTAAGACTCCAGCGACGGGGCCGGCGACAGGCTCTGAGTGGGCGAAGCCTGGTTCAGCTCAAAGGGTGCTGCCCTGTGTTTCCAGTCCCAGGAGGACAGCAGGCCAGGGCTGTCAGAGCCCAAGCCATCCTCCAGGCCGAGGAAGGTCTCGCGCAGGTTGTCCATGCCTGTGAGACAGCTGCGGAGGGAACGACTCCCTGGCAAGTGAGAAAGAAAGTTCTGCCGCCCGCCCGGGCAGAGCTCTCTTTTATGATGGTGGGGGACGAGTGATGAAGTGGGAAAGAGGGCCGGAGAGAGGGAGTTCAAAGGAGAAGGCAAGGACCAAGATGGAAGATGAACTCTTCAGGTGTCACTTTCTCCTCATTGATAATTAGCATCTTCCAGCTAAAACGGCTTTAAACAGAAAGGCCTCTAAGAGAAGAAAAAAGGAATTATCTTGTTGTAACTAAACCAATTAAGGCTGCATAACTAGACTTAGCATTGTCCTGTGGAACTCATTAAAGAGGGAGCCAAAGAAAACAAACCTGGGGCAGCCTGCAGCCAGGAGGTGGGCCCAGGGGCCTAGAGGAGAGTAGCCGAGCGCCCCAGCGGGCCTCCATCCCCTCCACCAAAACCGCCTAGACGGTTCAGAGCACATGGGTGCACTGCTGGAGAAACGGCGTGGTCTGGGGAGGAGGTAACCCCTCGGAGCTCAGATTCCCTCATATGTCAAACGCGCACAACAAACCCTTATTTCACAGGGCTGTTGGGAAGACAGTCCACAGTGGACACATGGTGGATGCCAGGTTCCTCCCCTTCTCCCTCTTTAATAAATTTCCCCTAGGTTTTGTAGAGCGCAGACAAGCCTACAGTCAGAATGACAAAGGCCAGCAGCTCTGGTAAATCCAGAGCCTTAATGTGCAGGAAACATCTTTCAAGAAGCTTAAAGCCCTTGCTTTCCCTGACCAGGTTGGGATTTGTCACAGCAAACAGACACCAGGAAAGAAGGCTCCTCTAAGGCAGGGCAGGGGGTTTGCAGAGTACCTGGCAGTCAGCCTTCTGAAGGTTGTTTTTTTTTTCCATTGGGCTGGGCTGCGGAGTCACACCTTGTTTTTGAAATGTATAGAGGAAGTGTGAAATTAACTGGGGAGCCTGCCTGTTTTCCCCACCATAGCTCCAAATGCCAGGGAATGTGTTAAGTTGGATGGTCCTGCTAGTTTGCTTCACTTCCTACGTGCTGTGACATAGACCTGTGTTTCGGAAAAGGTTTTCTCAGAGTCCCCATTTGTCCCATGAATGTCACTTTTTCTCCATGTAACTAAGCCTACAAATTAGTATTAATATCAGAAACACAGTGCATTACATTCCAGAGTAATATCGGCGTGTCCTGTAACATGGTTAAGGCCCCTTTGCAATTATTGAAAAGAAATATCAATGGTATAATTAAAACATTGATGGTAATTTTTAATTAGGTAGGATCAGGGAAGAAAACGCTCACTCAGGGACTCTGGAGAGGAATCCTCTTATGTTTGCTATTTACTAAAGCACCCTAAGCCCTATCTGGCAGAATAACGTTAATAGAACACAATAAATGTAATAAGTGATTCTCCTTTCCCCTCCCATTTCTTGTCCTTCAGCTCTCATTGGTAAGCCTAGAGTCTGCTGACACTATTCAAGGAAATTTACATATAATTAACGCTAATTTTTAAAAAACATTTTACAGATGAAAGTACTAAGGCTCTAAGAGATTAAAAGACGCAGTTAAGATTTGCCTGGGAGGAAGTGGTCAAGCCAAGATTCCTTGTAAGACCCAAAAGTCCACCTTTAAGAAAAAAAAAATCTATATTTTTCTATTTCAGTTGGTTGTAGTAGAGGCAGGTGACCTAACTGTGACTCAAAAAGAAGGGGACTCTCAGTAGACTCGAGGTGGCTGTGGTAGCCACTGTTATAGTTGGCTTTCAGTCCCTATTCTAAACTTCAGTTTTCCATATAATATTACTTCTCTCAGACTCCATAGCTCTTTTTCTTTTTCTATAGCTTCTTTCTAAAGTTGCTAATTTCTTAAACTTCTATTTTCAGAAGTTTCATTTTCTAAATGAGATAGTATCTGCCAAATCCTTGGGACATGGTAGAAAATAAATATTGGCTTTGCTCTTGTCACCAGTATCAGAACTACCTACTGATACTGAGGTCCCTACCGCTGACCTCAGTCACCCAGCATTGCTAGTCCCCAAAACCTGTTCTTAGGACAAGGACACTGCCTGGTTTCCATGTTTGCCAATGGAAGCTGTCGTTCTCCAGTAAGAAATAAACCAGAACCAGGCTTGTATTTACCCTGCTTGTCTCCGTGAAGCACTCTGCTTATCTGTGGGAATGGAGGTACAGGACAGCAGAACATGGGAGCCATTGCCCCAGCTGCTGGTGGAGGTCTGGTAAACACACCAGGCCTGGAGGCCGAGGCTGCGATATGATTCCAGGTGCTTGACATAGATTAACTCACATTAACCCTCATAACAACCCTAAGAAGTAGGAGCTATTATCCTCACCAATACTGTTGTACTAATAAGAAACTGAGGCACGGAAGGGTTAAGTAACTTGCCCAAGACCCCACACCTAAGGCCTAATGATGGTAGCCCAGGATTCAAACCTGGGCAGGCTTCCCTGGGCCAGACTTTTAACCACTGGCTGGAACACCTGAGAATAGTTAGAGGCATCAGCATGATGGTCCCTGTAGTGTTCTTGAAGCCTAAATTCAAGCTTTAGCTGTAACTCAGTAAAAACAGGAAGACAGACTGATTGCCACCATTCAATCTTGTGTATACAGAGCACCTGAGATTGGTGGTCACTGCAGGGGCTAAAAAGGGGCAGTAGATTTAGACTTTCTGTCTTCTTTCCTAAATTAAATGGTGAGATAGATTAGCACCCACATAACTTCTCTGCTCCAATTAGTGGGCAGGCCCAGTTCTTACAGTCTGTAGGGAGAGCTGTGTGTATGATCCACAGAGGCACCCGTCATGGCCACACCAGTTATCCCAGCAATGGTAGCAATACTAACAAGCTTATTCAGTGCTAAGTGCTTTGGATGATTCATTCCATTGGAATCTTATAAAAATCCTTTAAAGAAAGCACTAATTTTGTTCCCATTTTACATAAGAAATGAAGGCGTAGAGAAGTTGAAAAAGTTGTTAGAAGTCATGACTAAAAAGCGGAGGAGCCATGCTTTAGACCCAGGCAGTCTGACTCCGGAGGGCCAGACTCCAGCGAATGATTCTCTACCAAGAGGGAGGAGGAGGGGAGGGAGGACTTTGAAAGGGGCCCTTGTTCACATCCTAAGGTTGTTTAACAACTTTGGGTCCACAGCTCCAGGACAGAAGGCATCTGTTTCCCCTACCACTTTCTAGTGCTTTCCCTGGCCTGAGGCCACTCAATCATCTTAACAGCAGGTAAGGTTGGTATTCAGGCACATTTTCCTATAATTGAAAATTTTAGAAAAAATATCTTATTCTCTCACAAATAAAATATTTTTATGTATTAATATCAGAACACTTTCCTTTTTTGAGTACTTACAGCACTTACTCTGTGCTAGGTGCTAAAGATGAGAGCCTTGTATACATGATCTCATGCAATCCTCCATATAATTCGATAAGGTACGTATCGTCTTCACCTTACAAGAGAAGTAAAACTCAGATGCTAAGGACCTCATCCAAGGTCAATGGACACAGCTTCTCCCCTCAAGGCCACAGCCTCACCCAGTACCTCTGCGGTTGACACACCGAGTCAGTTGCAGTAACACAGCCACTTCCTGTGCTCACTGCCTCCAACTCTGAGCGCATCACGCAAACGCTCAGTGTACCCTGGTGTCTATAGCTGTCTTTGGCCATTAGGGTCTACACACTCTCTGACCTTTGCGTACTCCACAGTCCCTCTAACCAGCCACAGCCACACCACCCCACTGGTCAAACCAGCCTCCGCCTGACCGGACCCTGGATCTTCCTGCCGGGAAAGGGATAGACCCAGTGTTTGAACACAGGACTAAGTTCAAAAACTGCACCTTTTCATGCATCACACAATCCTGGCACCCAACTAACATGCAACCAAAAACCAGATAATTCTTGTGGGGCTAGGGGAGTGTGTGTGGCTTTCCCTAAAAATAATCTATTTACAGGTAGCCTTGTCCCTGTGACACCCCTATGGTTTCTGATCAGAATATAAGACTCCTTCTCTTTTGAAAATAGGACTAAACATGTTCGGGGGTAGGGGTGCGGGTGGGGAGTGTCCAGTCATCAAGGCTGCACAAAATGGGCCATTCTGTGGACAACAGGAGGATAGCAGAGAGGAGAAGGCACTGGGTAGGGCAGAGGAACATGAGAACAGGGACCAGGGTAAAAAACAGAAGAAGTGGGAGCTGATTTCCCTTGAGAGCAACAGGGCAGGATGTGGGGATGATTCTTATCCCAAGAAAATATGAGCAGTTCCTCTTGGTTCAAAAAATCTCATCTCAACATTTAGTCCCCAGTCGCCCGGTTTCCCCCAGACTAGGGAGGGGAGGCACCACTGGGTGCTTCACCACTGATTCTTCAGCAACTGGCCAGCAAGATTCAAAAAAACTCTCGTGTTACATTTACACCTACTCCCCCTTTTAAGTTGGATTCTTTATTACCACTGGTATTTGGGGTGGCGTTTTAATACCAGTGTCAAAAAAGTTGAAAGCAATTTGCACTGAAGCTGTTCTCCAAGGACTTCCCTGTTTTTTCCAGCCTGGAAAGCAGGAAAGTGCAAAGTTACTTCTTTAGTCCCTCCCAGGTCAGTAACCAAGCCTTGGAAACTCCTGGTAGTAAAATGACTACTACAGATGTTTTCAGTCAGATATCTGCCTGATAAGCCTGCTTATGTTCAGAAACACTGGCCTCCGTGCTGGACCATTTTTATTCAGATCTCCATACTTGTAAGTTAATTAGCATCTAAATGTAGATGCTCAGCAAAGGCCAAACTTGGGAAAATATTTCTCACAAATATGAGAGTCAAAGGTGACGGCTATGAAGGACTCACAGGGACAAGAAACACAGGAGCTCACCACTGGCAAAAAGAACAAGAGCATGAAACAGCTGGCAAAGCAGCACGGGTGGTAAGAAGGGTGGGGAGCCGGCCGGCTCGCCAGTGACCAGCCGCGTAAACAGGAACTACCAGCGGGCCATTTTCACTTCCCTAGCTGGCAGCCCGGCGACAGGATGAGGACATGGCCCCTCACACACTGCTTGTGGGTCGGCTGGTGAGAGTTCTAAAATATCCTGATTCCCAGAATGCACTCAGACTTAAAAATAGCTTCGACACAAGGGCTTTGCTCTATAGAACTGAACAGCTACAGTCAAAATTTATGAACAAGAATATTCGTCATAGTATTATGATAGTAAAAAATCAGAAACCACCTCGAG